TTTTAGCCTCCAGTCCCCTAATCATCCTGGTTGCTCTTCTCTGCACTCTTTCTAGAGTCTCAACATCTTTTTTATAATGTGTTGACCAAAACTGGATGCAGTACTCTAGGTGTGGCCTTACTAAGGCCTTACTAAGGCATGGTAGGAATGGTGTGGCTTGGTGGGTGTGGCATGGTGGGCGTGGTGTGGCTTGGTGTGCGTGGCAGGGGAAAGATACTGCAAAATCCCCATTCCCTCCCCACCCCACTAACCTGCTTTCCAGCTCCGTTCTCCTGTGCAGGGCAACCAAAGGAGACCCAGCTGATCAACTGGGACTCGATGGGAGGCAGAGAATAGATGGGGTTGGCGGGGCCAGTTGGAGGTGGTATTTCAAACAACTCAATGTTTCCGCTACCGTTCTCCAGAACTGGCCAGAACCAGCTGCATATCACCTCTGGACCAGTGGGTTGTGATACCGCTTTCATGTTGTGCCTCTGTAGGAAAAAGTCATAGATTAGATATGAGCCGAACAAGAGGAAAGGTGAAACAGGAACTCTCCCTGTGTCATATTCATGCACACCCTTCTACCAACACAACCAGCCATATCTCTATAGTGAAAGAATTGTTCCAACCTAACATAGAATAGCAGAGTTGGAAGGGACTTTGAAGGTCTTCTAGTCCAACCCCCTGCTTAGGCAGGAAATCCTATACCACTTCAGACAAATGCTTATCCAATCTCTTCTTTAAACTTAAAAATGTATCCTTAAAAGAAAAAAAGAAATCTATTGCATGTGTGGCTTTTTTTTAAAAAAAACTTTTTATTGCTTATCTGGAGTTGAATTTTGGATCCTTGGCATTTTGCCTCTGTTGTTAATTTCTAACTTTAATTGGAAGTTTAGAGAGAATTGGTACAATCCTAGATTAAACTCGCCATAGTGTCATCTCACCACACTTAGGAAGGCTATGGAAAAACGCATCGTTGAGCCTCTAGAAAGAGTGCAGTAAAGAACAACAACAAGGATGATTAGAGGCCTGGAGGATAAAACATAAAGGATTAGATTAACAGAGTTGGAAGGGACCTTGTAGGTCATCTAGTCCAACCCCCTGCCCAAGCAGGAGACCCTACACCATTTCTGACAGATACATACGAAGAACAGTTGCAGGAATTGGGCATGTCTAGCCTAGTGAAGAGGCTCAGCAGCTAAGATTCTGAGCTTATTGATCAGAAAAAGGTCGGCAGTTCGGTGGTTCGAATCCCTAGCGCCGCGTCACGGAATGAGCTCCCGTTCCTTGACCCAGCTTCTGCCAACCTAGCAGTTTGAAAGCATGTAAAAAAACATGCAAGTAGAAAAGTAGGGACCACCTTTGGTGGGAAGGTAACAGTGTTCCTTCGGCGTTTAGTCCTGCCGGCCACTTGACCATGGAGACGTCTTCGGACAGCGCTGGCTCTTCGGCTTTGTAACGGAGATGAGCACCGGCCCCTAGAGCCGGAAACGAGTAGCACGTATTATGTGCGGGGGGAAACCTTTACCTGTACCTTAGTCTAATGAAAAGGAGGACGGAGGATGATGTGACAGCTGTCTTCTGGTACTTGAGGGGCTGTCACAGAGGAGAGAGATTTGACCTATTGTCCAAAATACCTGAGGAATAAGAAGTAGTGGATGGAAGCGTATCGAAGAGAGATCCAACCCAGAATTAAGGAGAAATTTCCTATCGGTGAGAACAATCGGTGGAACTCCTTGCCTCCAAAAGTTGCGGGTGCTCCATCGCTGGAGGTTTCCAAGGAGAGGTTGGACATTCCCTTGTCTGGAATGGCATCTAGGGTCTCCTGAAGGTCTTATTCTAGGTTTTATGTTCTAACGTCCAAGCTTTTGCAAGATCCTCAGTTGCTGGGGTTGTCTAGCTTCCTTTGAGTTGAGTTTGGACTCCTGGTGGATCCAGTAACTGAAGCCTGTCTTCGAATGGCCTCCTTACAAGAGTTTGTTGTTTTCTCATGGAAGAGGATGCTGTTCTCCTTTCCTCCTGCCAAAGCTGCGTTGGCGTAATTCGCACCACCTACAATTTGTACCAGTCTTCCCTCCAGACACCAGGTGCGAAGCCAAAAGGATGAGTCAGAGGGAACAGTTCTGGATCATCTGTCTCCCTTCTTGAGGTTCTCCTAAAATGGTACGTGTTCTTTCTAAGAACATCAGTTGCAGGAAAGATTCATCGCCATGAAGAACCTGACCTGCCCCCTTTTTCCCTCTTGGTCTCCCCAAACAATTAATCACCCCTTGACTTTACACTTTTCCTCTTTGATTTTCCTCCTTAACAGAAGCCGTTTCTGAATTGTTTTGTCTTTTAGAGGTCAAAGAATAGTCTAAATAAATCAACCGTGTCCTTGATTTTTGCCTGGCTTCTGTGTCTCTGGGAGATGTTTAAAGGGTTTGCTAGGGTGAGCTGCCAACATATCTCAATAAGAGGATTTTGTTTCAAAAACAAAACAAAACAGAGAAGGGAGGGAAAAAATAGTCTGGTTTTTCTCCCTAACAGAATAACAGAATTGGAAGGGACCTTGGAGGTCTTCTAGTCCAACCCTGTGCTCAAGCAGGAGACTCTATACTAGGGGTCACCAACCTTTGGGACCTCAGGGACCACCAAACTCATAATTTTAAATCCCACGGACCAGAGACCCTGGGAAAATGCCAAAAGAGGTCTGCAGGAAAATTCCCCATTTTCCTACTGATCAATCATTCTTTATTTGGGATCACAGGATACCCTCCCAGCTCCGTTCTGGGCCTCTCTTCCTTGGGAGGAGGCAACCCCGTAGGCCGCATGATCCAACTTTGAAGAAACTAGATGGTTTTCTTTGACAAAAACCCTTTTCCCTTTCCACTGTCTTTCTCTCCTTTTTGAAGAGCACATGAAGACCAGGGATGAGGTTCACTGCACCGGCTGGCTTAACCTGGTGCCAAACAAATGCCATTTTCTCCAGACGTTCCGCCTTGTTTCTCTCCGTAACGGCACCCCGTGGCAAAGCAATTTACAAAATTGAATGAAAAAGCAGCTCCTGGTCGACACAATTGCTTATCTTTGCAAGTAAGAAATGAAGTGGGTTTTTTTTTCCCTTGGCCACAACTGCCTGTTTGTCTAGAAAGCCTCAATATAGTTTGCCAGCTCCTAATTCTCCCAACTTTAGGACACAGTAGAAGGCAGGAGAGCCTGCTGTACAGAGGTGGGTATTCAGCCGGTTCGGACTGGTTCTCCAGAACTGGTAGTGGAAAATTTGAGTGGTTGGGAGAACCGGCCAATCCCACCTCTGACTGGCCCCGCCAACCCCATCTCTTCTCTGCCTCCCATTGAGTCCCAGCTGATCGGCTGGATCTTCTTTTGTTGCCCTGCACAGGAGAACGGAGCTGGAAAGCAGGTCAGTGGGATGTGGAGGGAAGGGGGATTTTGCAGTATATCCTTCCCCCACCATGCGCACCAAGACACCAAGCCACACCCACAGAACACCACGCCCACCAAGCCACGCCCACCACTGATCGGCTGGGTCTATTTCTGAAGCCCTGGTCTGGAGATGTGACCTCCTGGCTCCTAAAAGGAGGTCACATCCCAATGTTCTTCTGATGTTACCCCATGGGAAAGATGTGCTCCCTGAACCACCCAAACCATCCACTCATGGCTTTCTTGTTACATTATGGCCAATAGGAATATATCACTATCAAAGTCTCGTCTGCTCTTGAGACACACTTTTCTAGCCAAGATGATGAGTTGCCACTTTGTCACAATTGTGGCTTATCTCCTTTTGCAAACTGGGATGCAAACCTCACCAAAATCTTGTGGAGTGCGGTTCCATGGGCTTGCAGCTTCATGGAGTAGTGTTTCTGTCATGACTGGCTAGGATCTTCAAACAGGGCAGCTTTAAGACTTGGGGACTTCAACTCCCAGAGTTCCTCCTCCAGTCATGTTAGCTCAGGAATTCTGGGAGTTGAAGTCCACAAGTCTTAAAGCTGCCATGTTTGGTTGGCTGTTGTCAGAAGTCTAAAGCAAGGTCTTCAAACATGGCAGCTTGAAGACTTGTGGACTTCAACTCCCAGAATTCCTCCTCCAGTCATGTTAGCTCAGGAATTCTGGGAGCTGAAGTCCACAAGTCTTCAAGCTGCCATGTTTGAAGACCCTTGGGCTAGGGAATTCTGGGAGATGAAGCCCACCCATCTTAAAAATGGCCAAGGTTGAGAAAACGCTATCTTACAGCAGGAATGTCTAACCTTGGCCCCTTTAAGACGGGCAGACTTTCACCTCCCAGAATTCCCCAGGCAGACATGCTGGTTGGGGAATTCGGGGAGCTGAAATCCACAAGTCTTAACAAGTTGCCAGAATTGAACCCCTTGCCGCACACAGGAGCCTGTTCAATTTGTCTGATCTCAGCCCGAGATCACACACATTACACGACAAAAAAAGGGCCCAAACTCTTGTTGCATTCAGATTCTCCTTTCCATGCCCCAGTGGCAACCCAAGATAATTCCTTCCCTGGGTGGCTGGGCCAACCCTGGGCAGCCTCCAGCTCCCAATATGAATTAATCATGATTTGTTAGCAAGCAAAAGAGATCGGAGAAGAACATCCAGTCCTCGGTGAGCTAATGGATCAAAGTTCCCACTTCTGGAGGGGGCGGGGGGGGTGTTCGAGGCTTTGAGCCAGACCCTCCTCTCCCTCCTTTGCTGACTTTAAAATGTCTCCCCCCCCCTCCAAATAAATAACATCTTTTACTTCCCCTCTTATCACATTTGCAAGCGATGGAAATGTTTTCTGGTTGCTACGCGCTGCCTCTCCCCCCCAGGGACAGCGGGGACCAGTGGGGGGGGAAAGGCGCATTCCCCCAGGATAGCAAGGCTGTTTAGACAAATCAGCGCAGCTCCTGCGCTTTGGTGTGTCTCAGCCACGGGAAGGCGGGCGTTGGGACCCTGGGGAAGCCTTCTTCTTTCCTTCCTCCTCCTCCTCCTCCTCCTCCTCTCTTTCTGGATATTCTCCCTCGCCTTCATGCTTCCCCCCAGACTTAAAACTCCACCGCCGCAGCCAAGTGGGCGCTCCGCTCCAACACTCCGGGGCCCATGCGCCCCTTCCCCGTCTCCCACGCTCGCCCCGCCGCCTCTCCCGCCGCCCTCCCCCTGCCCTGATCCAGCCGGGACCCCCCAACCCTCACCCAGGCATGGGCTCTTCCCACTCGATCCCCGAGGAGACCCGCGAACTCGCCCACAAGACCGGCTGTGAGTACAAGGAAGGGATTTTCCCTTCGTGGGTTTTGGACTCTTGACGTCCCCCGAGGGGCCGGGGGTGGCATCTCCAGCCCCTTCCCCAGGAGGAAGAGGAGGAGAAGGAGGAGGAGGAGGACGAGGCTGATGCCCTCCTCATCCTGCACCGCCCACCCACCCACCCCTTGCTGGGCGGGAACAGCACCCTCAAGGGCACCCGGGACTGGGTCGGGGGTCGCGGAACGGGCCAGGCGTCTGGAGCAACTTTGCGCTCGCTTTCTCGCCGCCGCGAAGGCTTCCGACAGCGCCCTGCCAGTTTGGGGAAGTTTGTTACCGGGGGTGGGGTGGGGTGGATGGGGGAAACCTTCGTGCTTGTTAAGCAATTCCTGCCCACGAGCCTTGGAGTCGCGGCGGCCTTTGCAAGCTGCTTCTGCTTTGCGCTTGGGAAACTCCCTCGCTGAGGGTGGGGTGGGGAATCCTCGGGAGTTTGGGAGAAGTGTGCCCTGAGAATGAGAGAGAGAAGGAGAGAACGGGAGAGAGAGAGAGAATGAGAGAAAGAGAGAGAATGAGAGAGGGAGAGGGAGAATGAGAGAGAGAGAATGGGAGAAAGAAAGAATGAGAGAGAGAGAGAATGGGAGAGAGAATGGGAGAGAGAGAAAGAATGAGAGAAAGAGAGAGAATGAGAGAGAGAGAATGGGAGAGAATG